GTGGTTTGGTACAGGGGTAAAAAGGGTAGGGCAAACCTATTAGGAATGTAAGAGAAAACTGACCACTATTTCAGCAGAAAGCTTTCAGTGCCACACATGTCACGACAGACTAAGGAAGCCAAAAATAAGTAAAAGAAGTAAACATGTAGGGCCTCCCTGGTGGCACAGGTGGTTGAGCGCTGCACTGTGAAGCTGTCCGCAGCCTCTGCAGCGCAGGTTCGATCCTGGCGGGCCAGGGAGAATCCCACAGGCACGGCAGACCTCTCCTGTCTCGCCCACTGCTCCCCTCAGCAGTGTATTTCATCAGTCTGCCAGTTCTGTTCCCCACTGTCTCTGGTGAATCCTCTCACCCTCCCGCACATCTGGCCTGTACCCCGGTTCTTGTATAAATAAATAAAACTTAAAAAAAAAAAAAAGTAAACATGCAAACAAATATAGGAAGTTTTTTTTGAAAGATTTATTTATTTATGCACACAAGAACTGGGGTACAGGCCAGAAGTGTCTGGGGGGGGGGGCGGCGAGAGGATTCACCAGAGACAGACCAGGGAACAGAACAGGCAGACAGACCGAAAACACTGTTGAGGGGAGCAGCGGGTGAGCCAGGAGAGGTCTGCTGTGCCATGTGGGTTGCTCCCTGGCTGGGGATTGAACCTGTGCTTGCACTGACTGCAGATGGCTTCATAGGCTGCCTCTCAACTCCTTGCACCAACAGGGAGGCCCAAGATTTTAAACAATTAAAAAAGTAACCAAAATTGGGCCTCCCCGGTGGCGCAGTGGTTGAGTGTTGGGTTGCGAAGCTGCCCGCAGCCTCTGCAGCGCCGGTTTGATCCCCGGCTGCTGCCCGGCCACAGGAGGAGGGTCCCACATGGCGCACAGACCTCTCCTGCCGCCCGCTGCTCCCCTCAGCAGTGTACTTCATCAGTCTGTCTGCTCTGCTCTACCCTCTGGCTCTGGTGAATTCTCTCACCCTCCTGTGCTTCTGACTGTACCCAGTGCATGTATAAAGAAAACAAACAAACAAACAAATAAATAAATAAAACATTCCTCTATTAAATAAATAAATAAATAAATAAATAAATAAATAAATAAATAAATAAATAAAAATAAATAAAAAGAAAGCTATGCTTCTAATTTACACTTCAGGTCATGAACTCCCATGAAGTGCACCACAAGCTAATGCAAACACATCACTCACCAGAGATGGAGTCACTGCCTGCTGCTCTCTCACATGCGCGAGGACTCCGGAGGCGGCGCTGGGAGAGGGGATGGAGTCCAGCAGAGAGGGCGGAGGCAGCTGCACGGGGCCCCGGAGTGTCCTGTCCAGGGCCCCCCACACTGCCTGGGAGCCCAGAGAGTCACCGCCCTGACAGCTGTGCTCACACTTCCATGGGATGGGGTTCCTCCCTCCCTCTCCCACACCCCGCCCCCGCCCGGCCTACCTGCCTCCTGCGTCGAAACACAAGTGATGATCCAAGAAATTCAAAGTTCAGAAACTTAAAAGTTTTCGAAGATGGTTAGTCACATGCAAAACCGCTGACCACAGTTTCACGGGAAAGGTGCCCCTGATGGACTGTTTTGCGAGGACGCTCCCAGAAATGGTTCGGTGCGCCCCGCTTCCCGCCTCGGTTTCCCGCCTCGGTTTCCGTGGACACCCCCTGACACGGCGTGGACCTGCCCTGGGCGAGGCCCGGAGGCAGGCAGAGCACTCGGGAGAACACGCGGTTCCCCGGGGAAGACACAGCCCGGCGCACCGGGGAATCGCCCAGTAAGGCCGGGACTTCTCAGCCAGCCTCAGCCAGGCGGAGGGTCCCCTCGGCTTCCATGCCCCAGTCACACCCGGCACACCCGGGAACCGGCTGCAATGCAGACGCCCTCCCCACACCCCGGGAAGGGCCGTGGGGCGCCCGTCAGGACCCAGACGTCCCGCCCCGCGCGTCTGAAAGGCGGGGACGCGGGAGGCTTCCTCACCCACCACGCGCGCCACCGGCGTCACGCCCAGAACTCCGGGGAGCGCGAAGGGGTCCGGTGAGGGGCTCCCCGTGTCCAGAGCGGGGTCCCCGAGACCCCCTCAACCGTGGCCCCCCCCCCCGCGCCGTCCAGGGGCCTGGGCTCCCCCCACGCCCGCCCTCAGGCCTCACCGGACACTTCCCCATCCGCTCCCCACCCCGCACGCCCCTCCTCCCCACTCCTCCCCACGCCCGTACCCCCGCTCGCTCCCCACCCCACGCAGCCCCCCACTGCCCACACCAGGCGGCAGGGCTAGAGGGCCAGAGGGCTCAACTAGTAAAGGATTAGGGATGTGGCCAGGTAATAGGAGGAAAGCTTAGTAACAGTTCCTGTAGCAAGTGACTAAATATGGACAGAATACTATTTCAGGGAAGTTGATCTTTCAGAAAGTTAATTGGAAAAGGAAAATGAAGGTCACAGGCACCTCAGATATGTCTAGATTATGTCCAAGTTATAATACAGAAAAGGAAAAATATAAAATTACAAAAAAATCTTAACACAGCAACCGTATAAACGTTTACTGCTGTTCACTGGTATTTCTGATTCTCCTCCTCTGAGGTCACCTTGGGATTTTACCCACTCTTTGGAACCTAGGGGTAGCAGTGTATTTCAATCTGCCTGTTCCGTTCCCCACTCTTCGCCACTGAATCCTCTCACCCCACCCTGCATCTCTGGCCTGTACCCCAGTTTCTTGCGTGCATAAAGAAAGAAAAATAAACCTTTAAAAACTAAAAACAAAAACCTTCCATAATTCTCTGTAGTTTAGTATAGGTGGCTGGTGTTAGGGCTGGATGGCCAAATATATCTTTCCTCCACCTCCGCCCCCAAATTATTTCAAAGACCTAATCCTCAATACCTCAGACCAGGATTGTCTTTGTCAACAAGGTCTTTAAAGATGTAAATAAGGTAGGGCCTCCCCTAGTGGCACAGGGGTTGAGCTTTGGGCTGCAAAGCTTCCTGCAGCCTCTGCAGCACCAGTTCAACCCTCAGCCACCAGCAAGGGTCCCACATGGTGTGCAGACCTCTCCTGTGGCACCTGCTGCTCCCCTCAGCAGTGTACTTCGGTCCCTCTGCCTGCTCTGCTCCCCACTCTGGCTCTGGTGAATTCTCTCACCCTCCCGCGTTTCTGACTGTACCCAGTGCATGTATAAAAACAAAAACAAAAACAAAAATTCCTTCTCATAATAATTTTTGCAAAGTGAGAAACAGACATAGGTAGTTATACGACTTGGCTAGGATCATGCAGCTATTAAATGATTAAACCTAACTTAAACCTAATTGATTTCTACTGAAATTCAATAATTAACTCATTCAACATTGACTGCTTGCCAAATGGAGACAGACATTAATATGACAATAAAAATAGACTGTAGGATTGCAAACCTGAGAATTATTTATGTTTCTATTAATTTAGGCTTTTTCGTGTATGAAATTTCACTTGCCATCCAATTCACCTGTTCATAGTGTTTAATAAATCATAAATCCAATCCATACTTATTATGACTACATTGCCTTTCTTTTCAATTAACAGTGAAATAAGTAACAAAAATGCATACAACTAAATGACAAAATTCCTGTTTTTATCAGAAAATGTGTATTTCAGACAGACATAGCTTAGAAACCCCTCTAGACTCTGGTGAGAAGACAGAAATATTTATGGTGAAAAGTAGGGTAACAACCTATAAGGATGTGATTGGCCAAGAAAATCAAAGGAAGATTCAGAATTTCAGCCATGGGAGGGACAAAGTAGTTAAGTCAAAGAGGGGCATCTCCTTCATAGGGATGGGCTAGAGACTGATACAAGGTTTTTTTTTTTTTTTTTTTATGCATACCGGAGCTGGGGTACAGGCCAGAGGTGTGGGGGATGAGAGGATTCACCAGAAACAGAGTGGGGAGCAGAACAGGCAGACTGAAATACACTGCTGAGGGGAGCAGCGGACAAGGCAGGAAAGGTGTGTTGTGCCATGTGGGTAGCTCCCTGGCCAGGGATCAAACTTGTTCTGCTGTGGCTGCGGACTGCTTCATAGGTTGCATCTTTCCCTTGCACCACCAGGGCATGCAATCATCAGCATTTATCTTTGTAATAAACTCCTCCTTTTACAAATCATCCATTCAATGCAATATTAAATACCTACCCTATGTCATCTATTTATTAACCATATAATTCAGCAACATGTTGATTTTTCCTTTTTCAAAGGAAATTTATTTTGTCTTGCTGCACGAGAATCAAGAAAGATTAAAAGCCTATGCACACAAGCAAATAGTTACCAGAAAAGCTTTTTATGATACATGATTCTAACATGCCAGAAGAAAATTGCATTGAAAATGATGTAGTCTATCACCCAAAGCACTGATAGTGAAGGCAAAGATCAACAGCTGCGACTACATCAAATTAAAGAGCTTCTGCACAGCAAAAGAGACAATAACAAAAACAAAGAGAAACCCCACCAACTGGGAGAACATTTTTGCACACAACACTAATGATAAAGGACTGATCACAAAAATCTGCAAAAAGCTGAGGAGACTCAACAAAAACTAAGAAAATAATCCAGTCAAAAAATGGGCAGAAGAGCTAAAAGGAAACTTCTCTGAAGAGGAAATGCAAATGGCCAACAGGCATATGAAAAAATGTTCAACATCACTTGTCATCAGGGAAATGCAAATCAAAGCTACCATAAGATACCATCTCACACCAGTGAGAATGGCACATATTAAAAAAACTAGCAACAACAAATGTTGGTGAGGATGGGGAGAAAAAGGAACTCTCCTGCACTGCTGGTGGGAGTGCAAACTGGTCCAACCACTATGGAGAGCTGTGTGGAGATTTCTGGACCTACTAAACATAGAGCTTCCATAGGATCCAGCAATTCCACTCCTAGGTATTTACCCAAAGGACACAGAAACATCCATTCCAAAGAGCACCTGCACCCCTATGTTTATAGCAGCACTGTTTACAATAGCTAAGCTTTGGAAACAACCCAAATGCCCAAAAATAGATGACTGGATCAAGAAGATGTGGTACATATACACCATGGAATATCACTCAGCATTCAAAAAAGATAAACACATGCTATTTGCAGCAACATGGATGGCACTGGAAGGGATCATGCTCAGCGAAATAAGCCAGAAAAAAAAAAAAAAATACCGGATGGTCTCACTCATAGCAGGAATCTAGAAAATTTAAATAAGGAACCAGGAAAAAGAATAACTATAAGAAAGTGAAAATCAAAATCAACAAACAACTATGAGCCAGAGACACTCTATGGGGGGTAGGGGGCAGGGAGGGGAGGGACTGGGGTCAAAATAAGGGTATTGCAATTGTATGGGGAATATAAAAATAAAATTTATTTAAAAAAAAGAAAATGATGTAGTCTAAATAATAAGAAATACATTTGAAATTGAAAATTAAATATACTTTTGCATATTCTGATATGCTACTTCTCTTGCCTCATTTGCATGCAAATAATGGTTCAACAGCTATTTTAATTGCTATATTCTCCCAAAAGCAAGGAATTTCAAAATATATGTATTATTTTGTATGGGGAAGAATGTTAATATTCACCAAATAATTACCTAATTTACATAGTGATTAGACTCATCTGCAATAAAGTATTTTTATATACAGAGGAAACATTAGACGTTGTGAAATTTGACAAGTGAAATATCAAGCAAATCTAATAAGTAAAATTATATGCAGCTGAAGACTTCTAGTACATTATTTTTAATATAACTTTATTACTAATGTCAGAATAATAAGTCAAATCCTTAAGCATTCTGTGCATCATATTTGGTAGGTGAGTGGGGGGATTCCTGCCAGAGTCTCCTCATTTGTTTATGGCTAGTTTCTACCACTGCTAAAATACGCTTTTAAAAGCAAAACTGCAAATACTGATCAATCACTGAATAACCAGTTTGATGGCAAATGGCAGTGCGTGATACAAATATTACATTTCTTATAAAACTAGTAGTTCTCTGCCAAAGGCAGCAATTCAACATTTGGCCTTACATGAACAAGTGAAAAAACTTCTGGGAACAAAAGGCTGTAAACATCCCTAGGCCAAGTCCTTTAGTGTGGAGATGTGGCCATTTAAGGCAAGGGCTAACTGGAGGAAAGTCTTTTACTTGACAGTTAAAGATAACAGTTGAATGTCAGAGGTGAGCCAAGCTCCAAGTAGAAGAAAACTCTTCATAAGCCAGAAGGCACCATAGTCGACTCCTGCTAGTTCATTCCTCTTTACTTGGGGCTACTTGGTACGGAAGCTGTCAGAGGACGCATTCGAGAATAAATCGACAGCAGTTTTGTGACTGGCTGAGCTAGCTATAACCATCTTTGGCCATGCCTCTGATAAAATGTTGGTAACTCCTTCCAACTGCAAACAACAATCAGCAATCTTAGAGAGAAAGGAATTTTCCCTTAATTATTAAAGTTAGACGGAAACTAGGCCCAACGGAGCACTAACGTTTATCCCAAGCGCACTCGCAGCGAGTTTTGTATTAAAAAGTCAACTATCTGGGGTTTTATTCCTTCCATTTCTTCATCTACCTACTACACGCGTTGCAGTAGATAAAACTGGAATAAACTTACTAAAATATATTTCATGCTTCTCTAAAAGTCTATTTTCTTTCTATATACACCAGCCTCAAATGAGAATTCTTGTTTTAGACATGGAGCTCAGAGGCCTCGTGGGTGAAACCCCCCAAATACCATGGCTAGGTAGAGAAACCTAAAATGAAGTGCCTCTGGGCACCCGGCAGGGTGGCCTCTTCTCTGCCCCCAAAGGGACCAAGACCCCTGCTGGGCCCTGCATCCTCCTCAACCCGCTCCACTGTCCACCTGCAGCTGCCCCAGCGCTGTCCAGGACACGGTCCACTGTCTTCTGTCCAACCGTCCTCGCGGTTGGCACTTACACATCGTCTTTAACGATTTCTCACTGCAAGACACGGCTGGTGAGTACTGTCACACTCTAAGATTTCATCTGCATTGGAAAGCATCTCCTTAGGTCACTCCCCCCCTGAAAAAGACCGTATCAAGCAGTCTGCACATTCTAAATGCCAGCTCTCTGCAGGAGGATGGCACCATTTCATTCTTGTCCCGGGAAGGAGAGAGGGGATGGATCTCACCGCACCCTGGCCAACATGTCCCTCCAGGCGTGCAGGGCGGGGAGCACCCGGCCCACGAGAACCAAGGACTCGATAAAGGTTCGTTATAGGCAAGAAATATTTCACTCCCCAAGACGCTCAACAGTAAGCAGCCTTGGCTCCGGAGCGCAAATAAGGGAAACACTTAAACAAGCTGAGTTTCGAGGGGGAACAGAGGACTGCAGGAGGGAAGCGAGCAGAACGGCCAGATGCTCGCCGGCACAGGGTCTCTGCGCCACACTGAGATCACAGATTCATGTTAGAGAATACAAATATCATGAGATATAATTTGTGATGTCAGTAGGGGTAGAAATGTTAAAGAGTGGAGTTTTGGTATGCAGCTGAATTTACATGGTTTTCACTTAAGAAAAGACTCTCATAACTTTTCAACACGCTATGGAATCCCCAGGAGAAAAAGACACCGTAAAATTCATGGAAAAGAAATAAAAACAGAGACTGATGTGATGTGTATAAAGGTTGGATGACAATGCTTTACAATGTTTGTAAATAATATTACAAACCAGTATACCTCAATTACCAGCAAAACGTGTGAAAATGGAGGGAAATCACCAACAAGAAAGGAGAGAGCAATTAAAGCATATAAGAAAAGGTCAAAAAATGTACAGTGATGCAGTAGGTTGGAAATGGGGTATAAAATGGCTGAGAATACAGCATCCGCAGTGGCGCAGCGGTTGACTGCTGGGTCGAGAAGTTGCCCGCAGACTCTGCAGCGCCAGTTAGATCTCCAGCCGCCAGCAAGGGTCCCACATGGTGCGCAGACATCTCATGCCGCCCGCTGCTCCCCTCAGCATTGTACTTTCTCAGTCTGCTTATCTGTTCTCCGCTCTGGTTCTGGTGAACTCTCTCACCCTCCCGTGCTTCTGACTGTACCCCGTGCTTGAATAAATAATAAATAAATCTTAAAATTTTAAAAAAATGAAATGACTGAGATAGAGGAATCATTCTTTAATAAAGTTAACGCCTCCTTTTCAGTAATACTTTGGTGTAAATAAAAGTCCACAATACAATGACAAATGTGGCTGAATGAATTAAAAATAACACCAATTCAATCTTACCTATATGACACTCCCACCCGGGAGCAGAGCAGCCCTGTTCCCAACTGCCCAGTCATGGCCCAACCTACATGCCTTCACCAGAGGCAGGGCAGGAAAGGTGGAGCACACGCAGGGGAGCACTGCAGGGCTGTGAGGAAGGAGCAAAGGGTCACACTGAGGATAAAATGGGTGGGCAAGGAGGTGATAGTCTGTTTTTTTTTAAAAAAGATTTATTTATTCAAGCATACAGGAGCTGGGGTACAGGACAGAGGTGTGGGGGAGGGCAGTGAGAGGATATAGCAGACAAACAGGGAACAGTATAGGCAGACTCACGGATATACACTGCCGAGGGACGTAGCAGGACAGTCAGGTCTGCTGCGCCATGTGGGTAGCTCCCTGGCTGCCCGGTGGATGGAACCTGTGCTGCAGAGACTGCAGACAGCCCCATCGGTTGCATCTCAATCCCTGTGCTACCAGGGAGGCTCCGGGAGGTGCTATTCTTGAGTGAAATAAGCCAAAAAGTAAAGACACATATCAGATGGCTTCACTCATCTGTGGAAAATAAATACCCAAAAAACATTTACAGGCAAAATACTTGAATCAAACTTGAACAGGGACATGTGAAGGTAAAGATGACCACCAGAGGGAACAGGGGAAAGGGTGGAGAAGTTAGGGAGGGAGGCAGATGGGGATGGGCCAGGGTGGTCTGGTAGAGGGGGAAACAAGGGGTAGGGCAACACCCATTAGGAGTCTAGGAAAAAACTGGCAACTATTTGAGCAGAAGGCTTTTAATGCCCCACATGTCAATGACAGATCGAGGAGGGAAAATAAGTAAAAGACAAAAAAGTATAAGAAGCATTAAACCAGGGCCTCCCCAGTGGCACAGCGGTTGAGCGCTGGGTTGCGAAGCCGCCCGCGGCCTCTGCGGCGCCGGTTCGATCCCCGGCTGCTCCCTGGACACCGGAGGAGGGTCCCACATGGCGCGCAGACCTCTCCTGCCGCCCGCTGCTCCCCTCAGCGGTGTACTTCCGTCCTTCTGCCTGCTCTGCTCCCCGCTCTGGCTCTGGTGAATTCTCTCACCCTCCCACGCTTCTGACTGTACCCAGTGCTTGTTTAAAAAAAACAAACAAATAAACAAAAAAATAAATAAAACATGCCTCTATTAAAAAAAAAAAAAAAAAGCTTTAAAACAATTATAAAAAACGGAATTTCCCCAAGGTCACACACGGTGTTCTCAAACATGGCAGGAACCTGGGGAAAGCAAAGGCTGGAGAGTGTCACTGGACTGGGGAACAACTTAGGGTGCTGGGAAGCGTCACTAGAAATGCATGCAGACCACACCAAGGAGAAATGCCCAGGAGCAGTGCAAACAACCGCCAGAAAAAAAGACTCTGAAGAGCCTGCTGGACGCCTGGGGTTTGCAGACCCCCTGAGAGAAGAGCAGGGGCAGGGATGTGAGGACGCCCAAGTGGACTCAACGTCACAGGTGCCAAGACTGACGCCTGCATGAAAGTCTCCGAGAGTGGCCTGGGACACAGGATAGGATTTCAGCAACTGCACAGAAGCCTTAAAAATTCAGTTGTCCTTTCAAATGACTCGTGGCTCCTTCACCCCCATCTGCACACGCGTCCTCAGGCCCCATCCTCCTCCCATCCCTCACCCCGCACCTGAGCAGCGCAGAGCTGGGAAGTGTTTGTGTCCAGCGGGGTGAAGAGCCACAGGCCACACCTTCAGCGTCATCAACTGAGACCCAGGTACAGACTCTGCGCTGCGGGAGCACCAGGGCAGAGCCCCATCTCCACGCACGCTGGACATGGGAAGGGCCTGGACCTACGCCACACCTTTCCCTGGGGAGGAATGTGTCCCTGCAGAAAACTGTGTTTCTAATGTGCATGTCCGTGATGAACTCGCATAAAGTCAAGGCACCGCGAGCTGAAGCCAACACGCCACTCACCAGAGATTCGTCCATGGTCGCTGCTCTCACAGACGCGCCAGGGCTCGGGAGCGGCGCTGGGGGGCGCTGGGGTCCAGCACAGAGGACGGAGGCGGCTGCCCGGGTCCGGGAGTCTCCTGGCCAGAGCCCGCCACACGCTGCCTGGAGACACCAGAGAGTCACCGCGTGTGGCAGCGGGTGGCACTTCTAGCAGGGCAGGAAGGGCCCCGAGTCCACGCGCGGCAGAGCCTGGGTGGACGGTTCACCACAACTTAGTAAAAGGTGACACTGCCCACTGCCTGCGCCACGGTCACGCAGGAGCAACCGTCTCAGAGCTGAGGAGTCGCTGCAGAGTGTGGACTCCACTTCCAGCGAGACGACGCCCCGAACGCACTGTTCTGCCAGGACACCCGGCCGAGGCTCCGCGCCCTTCCCTTCCTCCACTCCGGTGAACGCCCCACAGAGCCGAGTCCCCTGGGTGTGCACGTGCAGATGGGAGGCGGGAATGCAGCGGCCAGCAGGACGCCGCCTGGGGGGGAACGCGCAGCGCGCCCGGAAATTCAGTCCACAAGCCCCTAACGCCCCAGGAACTCCCCGCCACAACCCCGCCCTGCAAACCCAGTTTCCCGATATGGTGCCGCCTCCCCCGGCAACCCGCGGGCCTCTCCCTCCCCACCTCGGGTGCGCGAATAGCGCGCCCAGGCGCAGAGAATCTCGCCCAGGTCCCCCCCGCCCCCAGAGAAACGCCGCCGGGCTCTCCCCTCCCTCACTGCCCGGCTTTGGGGGGGATGGGGTCCAGAGGAGTCAGCGCGCATGCGCACAGGCGGACCCGCGCTACCTAAGCCCCCGCCTTGGGGACCCCGGTAGCGTCCGGGGACAGGGCCGGGCGGCCGTGCCGGGGAAACCCCGGAAAGGTCGGGGTGTTCTCGCCAGCGGCCTCCGCCCCCGCCCGCCCCGGCGGGAATCGGCTCCAAAGCGCCCGACTGCACGGGCCGGGGGCGAGCTCGCCCGCGCCCCCCGCTCCCCAAACCGCCCGGCGACTCCGCTCCCCTGAGCCCGGCCTCCTGTGACAAACCCCGCGCTCACCTCAGGGCGCCACAGCGCTCCGGACGCGCCGAAACTTCCGGACCCGCAGATCGCGGAAGCCCCGCCCAGAAACCTCCGCGGGAACCACGGGGGCTCAGACTACATTTCCCACGATGCCCTGCGCAGGCCGTGGTGCCGTCGTTGGGGTGGGGTTGCGGCCGAGCAGTGGGAGGAGTGGAGGTTGAGGAGAACCGGCGGGTGGGCGAGGCCCATGAAAACTGAGGGGCCCAGAACCGGCTCAGGGCTCTGAGGGAAGAGAGCTCAACAGGGCCGCCCGGGGGCTGAAGGGGTTAAGCACCGCGCTGACTCAGAAGGTATCCGCCCCTCCACAGCAGGGAGCGACCCGCAGGGCTGGGCTGACCTCTCCTGTCCTGCCTGCTGCTCCCCTCAGCAGTGTATTCCTCTCTGTCTGCCTGTTCGGCGCCCCACTCTGTCTCTGGTGAACCCTCCCTCCCTCTCTCTCTCTCTCACACACACACCCCCCTTTGGCCTGCACCCCAGCTCTTGTATGAATTAATTTAAAAAACATACATAAGAAGTTCACATATAGTCTAAATAAGACAGTCAGATACCAAGACAGATTTCATCAAAATCAAGATTCAGGTATTTAAGAAGCATCTTGACCTCCTGATATCTGGATCACAGAGTCGGTGTTCAACAGAAAGATGCTGTGCTTAGCTAATGTGAATGCACAAGAAATCCACGCTGTTATGAAAAGCTCACCTGCTCTTTCATCACATGCTTGTGAAGATTTCTTTTGGCAACAACGTCCAATAATATTCATGGCTCCATTATTACCATGAAGACACATGAGGATATTAATAAACCATTAGTGTATTCCCTGAAGGAGAAAATGATGAAATGAGTTGAACTTCAGCATTTTTCTGTGTCTAATTTTTATGCCCACAACGAAGTCCACGACTCCTCTGGGTGATTGAGATCAATCTTTTAAGTCAGCCACAAACAGCATCTCCATTTAGATTTTCTTCATCCATGATACATGCCACCATCATAAATGTACCAAAGCAATTAAGATGTAAAGAAACTCATCAATTGGAGAGGGTCCCCTAGATGTTTGACGCACGAAAGTCAAATACATGACTCCAAGTACATACCAGGAGAAAGCCATAGAGTGAAGTGATTTAGGGCTGAATTATATTCATCAGGTCTCTTCACAATATCTCAAGTATGGTTGATAAAAAAAGAACAAAGAAAATAACTATATAGGGCCCCAAACCTTCGTCTTGAACTCTTTTTTTTTTTTAAATTTATTTATTTTTTATTTATTTATACAAGTACTGGGTACAGTCAGAAGCGCGGGAGGGTGAGAGAATTCACCAGAGCCAGAGCGGGGAGCAGAGCAGGCAGAAGGACCGAAGTACACTGCTGAGGGGAGCAGCGGGCGGCTGGAGAGGTCTGCGCGCCATGTGGGACCCTCCTCCGGTGGCCGGGGAGCAGCCGGGGATCGAACCGGCGCTGCAGAGGCTGAGGGCAGCTTCGCAACCCAGTGCTCAACCGCTGCCACCGGGGAGGCCCAGAACTCTTATTTTTTTAAAGATTGATTTTATCCATTTATGCATACAAGAACAGAGGGGTAGGCCAGAAGTGTAGTGGGTGAGAGGATTCCCCAAAGACAGAGTGCAGAGCAGAACAAGCAGATTGACTGAAACACACTGCTGAGGGGAGCAGCAGGTAAGTCAGGAGAGGTCTGCTGTTTCATGTGGTCAGCTCCCTGGCCAGGGACCAAATAGCGCTGCAGTGGCTGCTGACAGCTTCACAGTGCAGTGACTTAACCCTCTGCACCACCAGGAAGGTCCTCAGACTTTTCAATTATGCTAGTATTTAGTGTTTTCATGTTGGCTTATGCTCCATAACAATTTTCTGACTTAAGGAATGTAAAGTGTTTCTCACTTCCTACTGTATTGAAATATCTTAATATGAATCTAAATTGCATTATAAAGTATTTAATCATATTTTCACTTCTTTCAAGTTTCCAGTATGAAAATCTGGTGGTTTCAAAATTCTTATTTGGACAAACCACTCATCACTTTTCATTCACAGTTTCTCTTGGTTTGCGCTCTCTGATGTTTACGATGATCTGACTTCTGCTTAATCACTTTGACACTTCTGGTTAAAATTCTGGACTTCGGGTTAAAGACACCAAAGTTGGGACCTCTCTGGTGGCACAAGGGGTTAAGACACAACCTATGAAGCTATATGCAGCCACTGCATTATGAGCTGGATTCCCGGTCAGGGAGCTACCCACATGGTGTAGCAGACCCCTCCTGTCTCGCCTGCTGCTCCCCTCAGCAGTGTATTTCAGTCAATCCGCCTGTTCTGCTCCCCACTCTGCCTCTAATGAATCCTCTCACACACACCCACCTCTGGAAGATACCCCAGTTCTTGCATGCATAATAAAATAAATCTTGAAAAAAAGAGACTAAAGAGAAAAAAATTGACTTCACAATTTTAACATTTCTCTCTGATGTGAATTCTCTAATGTAGAGTAACACTTGACTTGCGGTGAAAGGCTTTCTTCACATTTGTAAAGTATCTCCCCAGTATGAATTCTGTGATGTTGACTCAAAGTGATGGATGGTAGAAAGCTTTGCCTACATACTTCACACCTCTAAGGTTTCTCCCCAGTATGAATTCTATGATGTCAAGTAATACATGACTTATTGTTAAAGGCTTTGCGACATCCTTCACAATTGTAAGGTTTCACCTCAGTATGAATTCTGTGATGCTGACTAAGATAGTTAAAGGCTGACAGTTGGTTAAAGGCTTTCCCACATTCCTCACATCTGTAAGGTTTCTCCCCAGTATGAACTCTCCGGTGTCAGGGAAGGTGACACAGCACAGGATGGTGTTACTACAGTCAGGACGCGTGTAGGCTTTTCTCCAACATGAATCCTTAGACGGTTAGTCAGCTGTGGATGCCAATACCAGGCTTTACCACGCTCTTCACACTTGTGAGGTTTCCCTCTCTGATGTTCAGTTCAGTCTTGGGCACCATTTGGTAGTTTTGCCATACCCTTTACAATTGTAGAGTTTCTCATGAAGCGCATGATGCTGGAAACCTATTGAGGACTCCTCAATAGTATCCTGTGTAGATTTTTCATCTTCCTTTCTATTTCTCAGATGTTGACAATGACATGACTAAAAGTTTAAATCTATCCTACATTGACAATGTTTTGAAAAATCATTTGCATTATGGACTAGGGGACTTCCCATATGTTCCCACATTCTTCTCAGAGATTGTGTCTTGTTAAAAATGTCATATGGATCTTTGATAACATAAACATATTTATCTCTACCTGCAACAGACGTAAAATGGGAGTTTCACCCAAACATGGTTTACACGCAGGATCACTTTGCACAGGAATTGTGTTATGGATAATTGTTCCTTCTTGGGAATCTTCATTACAACAACTCTTGTGCCCTTCACATGCCTCTTGACATGTCTGGTCTATCAATAATTGTAAATTCTCAAAGGTGCCGATTCCATCTCCTCCCGGTCCCACAGTTAGCAACAAATCTTCTGTGCCTGACTGTGGCATGGAGACCTGGTTGTCTTGAGAAGACAGGGCAGGAAGACAACGAGGAATAACTACCCCACGCACAGCACTCAAGACAAAATACTTTAAATATTTCAGACATAAAATGAATACCATATAAAGACCCCCAACATGATGTTTGGATAGGTAACATCAGCACAAGACAGCAACACAGGCTTATGCATAGGTAACATCCTTAGGGAAAGGTAAATACATAGCAAATACAGATATAACCCGATAGTCAAAATATTGTTTCTGCTTCAGAATTTGGAAATATGGCACCAAAAAAAAAAAATCATAGATTCATGTTAGAGAATACAAATATCATGAGATATAATTTGTGATGTCAGTAGGGGTAGAAATGTTAAAGAGTGGAGTTTTGGTATGCAGCTGAATTTACATGGTTTTCACTTTAAAAAAGACTGTCACAACTTTTCAACATGCTATGGAATCCCCATGAGAAAAAAGATACCGTGCAATACATGGAAAAAAAATGAAAACAGAGACTGATGTGATGTG